GTGTGGATGAAAAATGGGCAAATACTACTGTCCGACCAAATGTGGGATGGCATGGTTTGTATGGGTATGGAGGTGGTGATATTTACTGGTTGTTGCCTAAACAAGTGGGTGTATGTCAGCATGAGAAAAATGCATTCATAATTCGACACGTATTTTTTCTCGACTGGTTTTATGACAACTCTTCAAAAACCCAAAGATGTGATGAAGATCTTTAAACAGTTGTTTTGGAGAGAAAAAAAGTAATTTTCTTCAATAGAAAAACACCTCTCAAAATATATTAATTACAAGAGATCCTTTAATAAGTCGTCTACAGACAGAAGTCCTTCACAAAACATTTCTATAGACAGGAGGCCACAAACAAGTGTCCCGATTACAGAAACCGTATCCCTTCAACAAGATCCCTCGAAAGTTATTTTTAGGTTATACACATGTCAAGAAATCTAATAGTGTCTAATAGATCTTCTAAGGTAGAAATCATTTCAAACGGCTTGTATAGATAACTGACCCTTCGAAAAGGGTAATATCCTTAAAGTCTTCAATTGGAAAAAGATCCTTGAATGGCTCCCTATAAACAAAAGGTACTTCGGGAGATTTTCCACAAACTGTAGACGCTTGAGAAAAGTCTTCATTGTAGAAGTTGCTTGAGGGGCACTTTTCTATATTGAAGACTCCTTTGTAGGATCTCTTCTAGGGCTAATTCCGCCGATTTTGTATGGATAAAATATCTTTACAAAAACCTTCTATAAATTAAAGTTGCTTCAATGTGACTTCTATGTCGAAATTCTTCTTTTGGTGACTTTTATAAGAAGAAGATGCTTCAAGAGTTCTATAGAAAAGTCACTTCGAAGGTTGTCTATTTAAAAATGACTCCATAAGCCCTTCAATGGAAAAAAACTCTTAAAGTGGTTTTAAATATACAAAAGTTCATTTGTATGTAGGAAATTCTGTCAAAGACAGACGTGAGAGGGAAAAATACCTCTCACGAAGTCTCCAATAAACCAAAATCTTGAATTAAACGTCTTCATAATTAGGAACCACTTTTATGGTATTTCATTAATAGAAAACTATTCCACGATGCTTCTTTAGATAGCAGATCCATAATGGGGTCTTCCTGATATAGAAGTCTTTTGAAATATTAAGAGACCCTATATAGAGAGAAAAGCCTCCTCAAAAATCTTCTACGTATACAGGGTGAGATAGAAACCAGTAAAGCAGGTCTTAAAGTCGAGCGTGGCCGACTTTATGATACCCTACACCACTTTGCTAATTTAGTAGAGCTCCGCATAACAATTAAAAGTTTTTATGGGAGAATTATATCATACACGCTATGATTACAATTAGAATTTAATGTTCAAAGGACTAAATATGCCGAAGCATTTGTATCTTTTACATTCGGACTTGTATTGCCCATTTGGAGCACAACTAATTTCAATTCGGATAAAAATATATATGGGAGCTATATCCAAATCGGAACCGATCTCGATAAAATTTGGCAAATATATTTCTGGGCTGTATTTGATATACATCCCTAAATATCGTTGTTACGGAGTGTATATTACGACTGTGGGTAACAAATAAAACAAATCGGATGAATAGTATATATGGGAGCTATAGCTATATCTGAACCGATCTTCATCAAATTTGACATACTAGCTTCTAGACTCAATTCGGTCGTAAGTGCCAAATTTAATTCCATTTGGGCAAATATTAGACGTTTGGTGCACAAACAAAGTAAATCGGACGAAGTTATATATGGGAGCTATATCCAAATTTCCCCAATTTGGAGTACATATTACGGCTGCGGAGGACAAAAATAACAAATCGGATGAACAATATATATGGAAGATATAGCTATGTCTGAACCGATTTCGATCAAACTTGACATGCTTATTTTCAGGTCCAACCTGATCGTACATGCAAAATTCCATACTATTCGGACTGATATTACACGTTTGGTGCACAATAAAAGGCAAATCGGACGAAGATATATGGGAGCTATGTCTAAATTTTTACCGACTATCTTCAATTTCAATAGGTGCAAATTTTTATCTGTATAGGGCAATAAATGCGAACTGTACTTTACAAAAATATATGGACAGACGGGCGGACGGACATGCATAAATCGACTCAGAATGTGATTCTATGCAGATCATCAAAAGAAACTATGGGTCTATTTCGTTTCCTTTTGCCTGTTACAAACAAATGCAGAAAGACATAATAACCTGACCACCTTGTGGTGTGGGGTATAAAAACTGCAACAAAGAAAAACACCATAATTTTTACCACCTTTGGCACGAATCATGGCCTTCAAATGGCCAATGAAACCGTCACACGCTGCGCACATTTGCTCTGCGGTATTTTGGCCCATTCTCGGCGAAGCGCTTGCTTGAGAGGATCGACACTTTGGTATTTTTTAGTGCCAAACTTGCCCTCTAAAATACTCCATACACAATAGTCCAAAGGATTGGTATCCGGATATTTTGGTGGCCATTGTACTCTAAAAATTAAGCGAGGAACCTCATTTTGTAACCATTCTTGTGTGGTGCGTGCTGAGTGCGATGGTGCTGAGTCCTGTTGGAATGTCCAATGTCTACGGCCAAAGTGCTTGTTTGTCCAAGGCTTTAATATACCCTCTAGGATATTTTCGCGATAATATTCGGTATTTATCCTGATGCTACGGTCGATAAATACGAGCGGGAAGCGACATCGGCTATTATGGCGGCCCACGCCATCACCATACCCGTCGCTTGATTTCTGCTGGTCAACCGAAAACGCGATAATTTTGTTTGTTTACAAACTGCTGAACAACGAAGGTTTTCTCCTCGGAAAAAAACTAAATCCTGCAGTTCACCACTTTCGGCCAAGCGAAGCAACTCTTACGTTCTTTGAGTCTATTTTCTTTCGGTTGCGGTGTAAGTTCTTGCACTTTTTAGAATTGCAATGGAGCTCATTTTTCAATATTTGACGAATGCAATATTGCGATATGTTCAGCTCACGAGCCATTTTTGGGTCACAGTGTTTTTGTATCGTATAGGCACTTGTTGTGTTCCAGCCAAATATAAAAAATCACGCTGTCACGCTTGAATTCCATCACGAATAACTTTTTTCTGGAAAATTCTCACCAAAATGTTTTTGTACACTTGTACACAATATAATAAGCTGTCACTGGAAAACGGACGAGTGGCTTAGAAATGACAGCAGTCTGAATTTGGTTGCAGTTATTTCATCTCACCCTATTATAAATTGCCTTTTCATAAAAACGACCTTCCAGACACAAGACTTTTTAAATTTCCAACAGCAGCTCTCCCACTAGTCTAATTTCTCTTAGTTCTTTGTATCAACTCGCTTTGTAAATATTCTAGACAACATTTATATTCAAAACAATTGAAGTGAATCGTTAAATATAAAGAAAAACAAAATTATACATTTTCTCTTAAGTGATTTCTCATGTACACGATTGCACTATAGTGAAGAATTCATTTAAGAAACTACCTTCCATAGGAATACTATACACAGAGAATCTTTAAACTTTTCTCTTATATACTTTTCAAAAGGTTTTCTGTATATAGGAGGTTCTTAGATCTCTTATAAATATAAGTTCATTTAAATGGTCTCATTTAGAAAGAAGATCTTTTAACTGGCTTCCTATAAATAGTAGCGGACCTTTTTAATATGTATTTTACTGACAGATTTCACTTCAGAAAATCTTTAATTCAATCGTGAATAGGTTTTCTTTCGAATTTCTTCCAGAGATGTAAGACTTTCAAAAAGTTCTTCATTGAAGTACAGATGTTTCCCCACATTATTTTTTAATCGTTTAAATCTCTCTCTCTCTCTCTCTCTCTCTCTCTCTCTCTCTCTAAAAAAAACATATTTTCAAACATTCCAAAAATGTGCCTCCTGGCCATTTTGTTGCCATATTATCTTGAAATTACTTTAAATCCCATTACCCAAAACAAAAGGCTTAACTGGCAAAACTTGTAAAGGAAAGTAAAAGTAAAATGCTTTCCACAAATCTCCCCAAAAGAAAACATAAAAATTACCCATGAAAAAAGCCAGGGTATTACACTTAATGGCCACTTTAGAAATTCTTGCACACCAAATATAACAGAATCTTCAAAATTAGAAAATTGTTTTGTCGGTTTTATGTTTTTTTTTTCTTCTTTTTCAGTACAGAAAATTTTAATAAAATTTTGTGATGATGTTTTCTTTTTGCATTTTGTTTTACTAAAATTGTTGTAAAATATGCCCATATTATTATCACATTTATGAAAATTGCATATTGCCATATATGACAACACTTCAATGCCAATGCAAAATGCCAAAACAACAAAGCGATGCGGAGTTACAGTTATATTCGGGATTCAAAGCCGTAAGACCACAAAAACGGCACAATGGCATTTTGCCATTGTTTGCAGATATAAAACAGGCGTGTTGCCATAGACATTGACTCGTTTTGTTTTTGTGCAAGTTTTTGGCATTGAAACACTGGAGTCAAACGTCTGTATGCCATTCTAACCGACCAAAGCCATCGCTTGATAATATAACCATATAAGGTGAAAACTATAGCACAAATGGGAAAATGCAAAGGAAAATACAATTGCTTAGCTGAAAAAAGTGGCTAACCAAAATAACAGCTACGACAATTTGGCAATGAATTGTTTAAAGTAAATGGTTATGCAAATAAAAACAAATGGATTTTCTAAAATACAGACATGTGTAAGATTTGGGAATTTGGCTGAGAGGGGAAAATGGTTTAAAATCGCTGAAGTGAAAACCTAAAAATAAGATACATGCAACATATTTTTCATACTCATTTTTATGGATTTTAAATAGATACACTTTCTTATTGTCAAAAAAATAAATAGAAATTGTTCATATATTTTTCACAATTGCTTTAATTATTAATGTTTAAATTAGAAATTCTTTTTTAATTAGTAATAATTGTGTATTAATTTTTAATCAATTTGACCAATATTTTTTCTCTCTCTTCTTTTTAGTCAATATGTCTACAAATAGCCACACACGTACCCACATATCAATCCACCGATTTACATACTTAACTTCGTTATATTTAACATTTCTATTGCTGCTAAAATGTCACAAAGTCGCTGGCATTTTGGGCAAATCACAGATGTGTGAAGTGGAAACGGGGCAAACGAATATCATATTGGATATTGAAGAAAGCAGGGGAGACTGTAAGTAGATAGAAAATAAATATTATTATTGTATTGAATATGTATATCTGCATATGAAACACTTCTATATCAGAATTGCATACATGGTAAAATTAAACAAGTAAACAAAGGCTGTAGTTGTGCGGAGCCGACCATGCAATATGTTAGAAGACCTCTTTATTTTGGAAGATTTCCCTTTTAAAATTATGTCATAGAGCACTGTCCAGATATTACCCTCAGAATTCTGACAAGGGATATTTGCCCAATATTTATGCACTTCGTCGTGCTGTTAGTTGTTATCGTCTATTTTACAGCTAAATATAATCCAATGGCCATCGAAAATACTAGATTTCTTCCCTGTCCTTATCTCTCTTCTCATGCAAAATTCCGTGTCGATTGCTTTCAATTGTATGATCAGGATTTTTTGTTTGTTTTTGGTTCATTTGAACACCTAAATATTTTGCGATCATCTCCGAATGCAAAAGGCCCCTCCGTATCTCCAAATTTAGACTAACTATATGATTTGCCTGTCTACGATATTTGGCTATATTCGTCAACGAAATCAGCATCAAAAAGCCTTTTCTGTATTTCAGGTTAGTTTCAGCGTTCCGGTAGAATGGAAATGTTGGTTTTTTTCACACAAAAGTAGTTGTCCATTCACCCTCTATTTTGTCATTGGGTTTCTATTTGGCTGCAAAATCAGGAACATTTTTAGTTGTTGGTACATTTCAACCCTAAACCTAAACCCTAAATATAATGCGGACATCTTTGAAAACAATAGGCCTATCACTTCTGAGCCTAATCCTACCTATATTGTGAGGATCGGACGATAATTACAATCTGTATATAATAACCCCAACCTGTATTGTATGGTGAAGAATATTTCAATGTGTACACTTCAATAATATAAGTCAAATTAAAAAAATCGCTTGCGATAAAAAAAATCTGAAAAAATAAAAAAAAATATTACAAAACCTATATTGACATCATTATTGGCATCTTTTTATGCGACTTTTTAGATTTTATTCTTTTACGCCAAGATATAAGCATTCTAGCTAACATTTCCTTACTTTGTATATACACATTGTATATATTTGGCTATATATATCCGGTATATTTACTATCGTTGTCTACGTAACGGTCAGAATTGACCTTTTCGTCTACTTGTGATTTCGGCGGGATTAAAAATATTCGCGTTTTAATGGAAAATTTGACTTTTCTTTAACATAAATGTTATGGTCTATTTCACCCACTAAACATTTCCCGGTTATCATTAAAATTAGAAGACTTCTGACCAGTCTTAAGCACTAACGCCATGCTAACTTCCGCTTTGATTGGTCTATAATTGCGACCTGTAGAGCAACTGCAAAATCAGGACATTTTTCAATTTTTGGTACATTTCAACCCATAAATTCTATGCGATCATCTCCAAAATCAATAGGCTTCTATTCTTTCATTCACTTCCATTTTCAATTTTCACTTCCATTAACATAGACAGACGAACGGATGGACATACATAGCTAGATCGACTCAGCTCGGCAAGATAGCAAGATTCATACATACTTTCCTTAATGGGAAACCAAGATTTAGAGGTATTACATAACTTTTGGCCCAATGAAACTTATAATACCCCCAACACACAGTGTTGTAAGGTGTAAAAACATCTTCTATATACTTTACAAAATGAAGAAGACATTCAAAACGTCTTTTTTGAAAATATGTTAAAATGTGTACAATATAGACAAGACATTTCAAAAGGTCTTCTATGGAGTGAATTACCTACAAAAGATATGCTATAAATGGAAAGCCTTTTGGGAGCTTTTCTACAGTGGGAAAGTCTTACAAAAGCCCTTCATAGAGGAATGATTTTTCACAAGGGAATTACTTTCAAATGGTAATCTATAGATAGAATAACTATCAGGAAAAGTTTTTATTTGGTTAAAACTTTCAATAAATATTCTATGGAAAGAAGACAGACATTTCAAATGGCCTTCTATAGAAGAAGAGAACAGGAAAGACTGTAACTAGACGTAATTAATATCACACTGATATTTGACACATTTGTATTATAGGTAGAGCGAATTTCACTCTATTCTCGCTGCGGGTGAAAATAAAGAAAGCGCGCATACTTTATTTTGCCACGCCAGTCAAATAAGAGCATGTGGAAATTAAGTTAAGCAACTCCAACTCTTGTGCGAGTACACTTTTAGTTTTTGTCATAACATTGTTGCTTGCTTCCGCTGTTTGCTACCAAACACGTACACAATTTCCGCATACGATCTATTATTGTCATTCTATTTTGCTCTTAGTGTCATCTTTTACTCAATTTCGAGTATATTATTTGCAAAAGGCAGGTAAATCGCGAGCGTCCCCACATAAAACAAAAAAAGTGGAGAGCACACGTCGTATAAAACTCCTACTTTTTAATTTCTCGCGCTCGGGCAAAATCTGAGCTCTGAATAGTTTTTTTTATACCCTCCAACCATATGTATATAGTATGGAGAGTATATTAATTACGTCATTGCGTTTATAACTCATCGAAATAATAATTTTATACCCAACAAAGTATATATATATATTCTTGATCAGCTTAGACGATTTAGCCTTGTTCATCCGCCCGTCTGTTGTAATCACGCTACAGTCAAAACGAATTAAGATATGAAGCTAACATTATGCACAGATCTGTCTTTTGTCTGCAGTCAGGTCAAGTTCGGAGATGACCGATATAGCCGTCACGATATCGTATAGTCCCATATAATGGTACCCCCCTATATTCGGTATTTTGATGATTTTAGCCACATTTTTCAATGGAATTGCCTGAAATTCAACACTAAGAGTAAAAGGAGTACTTAACCCCTGAAAGAAAATTGTCAATGTAGGCCCACGAATTATCTATATAGGTCCATGGTATCGTATAGCCCCATTTAAGGTAACCACACCCCCCCCCCCCTTAATTCTGCATTTTGATGATTTTATCCACATTTTTCAACATAATTGTCTGAAAATGCACATAAGGAGTACTTTATCTCCTGGAGGAGAATTGTTTATATAGATCCACGATATCGTATAGCCCCCATATAACGGTACCCCCAATATTCGGTATTTTGATGATCTTAGCCATATTTTTCAACGGAATTGTCTGAAAATCCACAAAAGGACTTCCTTGTGAGTACTTTATCCCTTAGGTGAGAATTGTCTAAATAAGTCCACTTTTTAACCCATACTTTCATGATTTTTGCGACATTATTCAGCTGAATTGTTTCAAACTTCGTATATAATGTTTGGAACTGTTACTATAGTCTACGACACAAATTACTTATGAAGGACCACTTCTTCGTATAACGGTTTTCCTTTTGAGTGGTATTTTTCGACCGATTTTTTTAATTTTTCAAGTTTCTTCCAAATGGTGGAGGGTATAAAAAGTAAATTGTTTTAAATAATTTTTATAACTAGTGTTCTAGAGTGAGTGGGCATACCGAATATATGCTGTGAAAAAGATTTTCTAATAGAACTTGAGTCTAATTTGGAGGGTTTCTGGTGTCTAATTCGCATATGCTTAATCGCAATAAGTTCGAAATAAATACTTCTTTCCAGAGAACGGCCCTTGTAAGCCATCATTCACACCAAATATGCCCGATGAGCCGCTTAACCAACGGCGAAACGCGTCGTATAATGGTGAGTGTGTGTCTACCTGGCTTTCCTTTTCACTGCAAATTTCAGATCATTAAATAGCTTAATTTTAGTGCAATTCTGATAATACCTTCGAGAGTTAGGCAGGCTTATGTTCGCATAGACTGATGTTGAAATGTCCTAACACAGTTTTCGACCTATGTTTTGGCTTATCTTATTTTAAATATTAAATTGATATTTAATATTTATTTTTAATATTAAATACCGATTAGAAATCGAATATTTTTTTTAGATTGGTTTTGGCGATAAACAAAACATAGATTAAAAGTTTATTTATTTAAGTTTTTTTTTTTTTTTTTTTTTTTTTTTGAAAAATGCCAAAATAATGATTCTCAATTTTTCATATTTAATTTGGGTTGTGGAAAGAATGCTTCTTAAATATCAGCCCATCAATTTATTTTCAATTAGAATAGGAATTCAATGCTCTATGTGTTTTCCAACTATTTGGTCCTTCGTGTCCATAGAACTTTTCTCTCTTAAGGACAAAAAAGCCACAGGGATTCCATGTACATACATACCAATTAAGTATTTAGCAAGAAACAAAGACAGCTTGCAGAAAAATAAAACAATGACTTCGACTTGAATTATTTGGGCTATAATTTATGTACACAGAAAACAGCAAACAAAAATACTCACAACAGTTTGCACTTAATTGTGAATCCTGTGTGTGTGTGTATGTAAGAAGACATGTGTAAGTTCTTGCAACGCCACCAAGTTGCACACACGTCCACGCTGTAGTTGATTATTTCGAAATGAAAAGTTAGCAGTAAGTGCGGTAATAATAGGTTTTGCTTTTACGACATGCATAGCTGGCTAACGCATGCATCGCCCATTTTCCCTATTTCATTTTCAGAAGGTAATTTTTCTTCATCTTCTTTGGAGATGATGATACCCAGCATAGGTTGGCAAGGAGCCAAGCAAGTATTTAGTAAGGACAACAAGCGTGTATCAAAGTTGTCCTCATCGTCATCGCCATCATCATCAGCCACAACCGGCGCGCAAGCGTAATAGCATCTGCATCACCATTTTTTAGTTCGACGAGAATTTTTATTCTTAGTTTTCTATGATTCTCTTTATAAATGGCGTCACGTTTTCTGCTTCTTATAGCCAATACCTTTTTATCACATTAGGCCGACAGGAGAACGAACGCGTCTTAGAAGAGGGCCATGCTACCTACGAGTTGTGGCTGGTTGCTTTTGATAGCCGGGTATTACATAAAGAGGAAGATGCTAGATATATTAAAGTGCTGGCCCACAAAAGACTTAAGACACAAACACGAGACCGAAAACGCTTTGCAATGATTCTCATTGCAGAGGTGACTTAATCTGCTT